TTGTTTTCAAAGTTTAAAAGGATTACTGCCAATGTGTCGTGCAAAAGCAGAAAGCAGAAAGCATAACGGTCTCAGTAAATGGTCAATATAAGCGAACATATAGAGTAATATAAAGTTTCAGTGAAGAGGAAAAGTTGGTTCTGCATTGCAAATGAACAAACACATAGAAACAAATCAGATAAATCATCTGCTCTCTAACCTGGAGATGAAGCAGTCCACAGTATTGGGGCAGGGCCAGCGGCCACATTTATAGAGCGGCCTCAGGTGGAAGCCATAGAGGAAGTACTGTCCCAGGATGAAGCCCACCTCAAACAGAGTCTTGAAGATGATGTTGAAGATGTAGGTCCTCAGTAACGCCCCTCGGATCCGGATCTTCCCGTGCTCATCACGAATCGGCAGCTTCTGCTTCTTCCCACCTCCTCGTCCTCCTCCTCCTCCTCCTCCATCGCCAACTCCGTTGTGATAGAGAGGGTCATGGTCCTCCTGGTGCCGTCCGGCCTTTCTGAGCTCCTCCTCCCGCTCCCTCCTCTTCTCCTCCATGCGGACAATGTGCAGCACATGGCCCAGGTAGATGAGGGTGGGCGTGGAGACAAAGATGATCTGCAGCACCCAGAAGCGGATGTGGGAGATGGGGAAGGCCTCGTCGTAGCAGACGTTCTCGCAACCGGGCTGCTGCGTGTTACAAGTAAAGTCAGACTGCTCGTCGCCCCAGACCTCCTCAGCTGCTGCGCCCAGCACCAAGATGCGGAAGATGAAGAGGACGGTCAGCCAAACCTGGAGAGGAAGGATGGAAGGATGGAGAGTGTCAGATATCTTAGACGCTCCAGCTAAGACTTAATGTGGCTGCTGTATGCAACCCTATCACCAGACAACATCTCAATATTGGACAATTCTGCAAAACCCCCAGAGATCATATTAATATTAATATTAATGCCAATATGGACATCATTGTTAGGATAGTGAGCTGCAGCCTGAAGCTGAAAAACACACTCTGAAAAAGGATAAAGTCTCAGCTGCTTTGGTTGCTCTCTTACAATGAGATCATTGAAACAGATAGCGGCGTGGTCAATCTGAATCATCCAACTGTTTCAAATACTAGCGAAGCAGCAAGAAGTTGGTCAAATCTTCTAAATGGTGGCTGTTGAGGGATTTAAGGATCAGAGGAAGGTGGTGATATCATTTCATATTCATCATGTTTTCAATCAGTCACCTTTCCAATCACAGTGGAGTGTTCTTGAGCATTCTCCAGCAGCCGCCCTAGAAAGCTCCAGTCACCCATGCTTCACTCGATTATCTAGCCTGAAGAGAGAGACAACGTGAGTCCAGTGAGGAGCTGCAAAACGAGGAGGAGGAGACAGAAAAGGGAGTCTGTCTGGAGAAAGAAACAGAGACCAGACTTCTACTACTCTGTCTGTGGCAGCCTGACCGAAGCCCACTGGTTCCTACTGAAGATGTAACGTTTAGAAATGGGTCACATAAAGAGCTACAGCACCAATGTGGCTCATTGATCATGGATCATAAAAACAGTTAAATTCATTCTTTTTTACCAACTTTATCAGAACTGTCTCTTCCAGGTTTTGAGGTCAGGACAACAGGAAGTGCCACAATAAGGAAAAAGGAAGGCAGACTTACTAAAATATTGTTGTATTGTCAGTGATAAATCCATCGACCAGAGATCAGAAGAAAAATAATATCTGGAGGGAAGAGACAAAATGTTATGGTGGACATTATCATTGTCAATGTCAAACAGAAATCACACTCAATTCTCATTTAGTCAAACACTTATTTGTCTAAAGCCACTAAAATAAACGGATAAACAAACTACAGGCAGGCAGTTTACAACACGACACAACTAAACCAGAATCAGGTTTAGGGACTCTTTACTTTATATTTAACATAGCTAACACATAAGACGAGACGGTACTGTATATCTTCGAAGAGTGTCGAGATTTCAGATATTAAAGTTGAATTAATGGAATTTTGGACACTTGGAGGCAGAATCAACAAGTATTAGATTAGTCAGTCCCTCCAGGATGTCAGGGGCTTTTTTGGGGGATTGTTTGATGCATGTTGTGATGTTTTTAGGCTTTTTTAAAATTGAAATTGTGAAAGAAAGTGAATATTGTTAAAATATTTGTGATTTTTAAATTAATTAAAAACTGAAGGAATGTGGTCATTTTATAGAAACTATTTGTTCTTTGAATTAACAGGAAAAAGTCCTATATTGTGATATGAATCGTTATCTGGATTTGAAATGATATCGGGATATGAGAGCCAAAACAATGAAAGACACTAAGCGAAGCCCGGCGCTCTAAATCGTTTTTTTTCCTGCTCCACACTATCGTTATTATATCGGCTTTCAAAAATGAACCATCGACCGACGTTCAGTTTTCAGACTTCAGAACTCAAAACAGCTACAAAGACAATAAAAGTGTATCCACTCACATAAATCTGTCACTCTCTGCGAAGTGGATGTACTTGTGTAATAAAATATCTACATGTACATTAGCTTGCAGACGTGCACGTATGTGTGTGTAAGTGTGTGTCTATGTGTGTGTGTGTGTGTGTGTGTGCGCTGCAGAGCTGGCTGGCTAGTGGACAATGGCTGGCCATCTGTGGGAAGTGAATGAGTGGATAACAGGTTGTCCCAGTTGAATGCTGGACTCATCACATCCCAGGAATGCTGAGGAGGGCAAATGCCTGCAATTTGCCTGGGATCGACTGATAAGTACACACACACACACTATACACACTCAGAGTTACAGTAGCATACATCACTCCTGTATATCTGAGAGTGGGAAGCCACTGACAACTTATTTTACTTCTAATATGAAAGGGGATCTGATTTACTCTGCTTTTAGAAGTTAATCAGCAGTCTGGAGAAGCACTATAGAAATATCAGTCATAATAAAAAGTTCCTCTTCAATACTATAAAAGTTTTACGTCATATATCCCTTATAAATTAAAGTCCACACACATTCAGGAACTTTTCTAACCCCCTCGAGCTGGAGGAAGAAAGAATGATATTCCCAGATAATAAATAAGCAGACTAATTACAGTCTACTGATACACCAATCTAACAGTGGCATGTGTACATGTACATGATGTGTTGACGTGATGAAATACCATCTGTCACGACAGACAATAGGGAAGCTGCCAGATGGGCATTGTCCCGGCTGGCGTGTGCTTTTGATGGATCAGAGGTCTTTGTGCTAAAACAGCCCAAACAGTTAACTCTTGGCCTGCCGCTTGCGCCCTGAAAACCTTTTTTAAGATACGCAGACAGCGGCGGTGCTCACGTGAAACACAATTGTTTGGTGCCCGGTTAATCAAGCAGCCTCGTTTTAGGTTAGACGCACATCCAGAAAACAGTAAAAGTCCGTCAGACTAACCTCTGTGAGCTCACAGGCCAATAACTGGTGTTACTCCATGCGTGTAAACATAGCCGGTGTTGATTCTTGAGGAAATTATGCTACAGACTGAACTCAGGGTCACCAAGTGCACAGGGATTAACAGAAAGTGCATAAAGGACTGTTATGGTGCCTTAAATGGGCAAAGGCTTCCTAATATAATGTAATTAAAGGTGAATAAATTAGGTTAAAGGGACAAAATGATGCATAAAAAGGTATAAATGAGTATAAAGGTGGATAAAGGAGTGCAACATTTACAAATACAGAGCATCTTCAGTTCTATAAAAATAGATAAAGATGTATGAAGGCAAACCTCGATGGAGAGTCAGAGACAACAACGTCCATTGGTTGAAACATCAGATAATAAACAGAATAAACTTAAACTTAAATAAAGTGTGTTATTATGATTAAATCAGCTCAGTAACACAGAAAACCTGTGTGTCCTCCCAGGTTAGTATGAGACGTCCGATGCAGGTTGTATTTTATGCACCGTATATCTCCAAACTCCAGTAAATCTCAGCTAATCTGTCACCTGCTACTACACGGAGGCAGCAGGATAGAGAATCAATAACCAAAACACAAGGCACACGAATAAACCGGGTTATCACAAGAAAAATATAAAATATAAGCAGGATGGCCTTACCAGAAAAACAACATGAGTCGTCCACTAGGAACTTTTTAAGTAGGTTGCATACGGTATTATACTAAAAGAAATAGTTAAATTACATATTTTATATTATAGTGTAAACTCGAATGCAGAATTATTTGTTAAACTTGTTTAAATGAATACAAAACTGACCCAAAAAGTTGCTCTTACACACTCCATGAGCCACCTTTTTAAAGAGAGAGCAGGGTGGCTCCCAGCTACTGAGGCCAACTGTGTTAACACATCCCTAATTTACAGCCCAGCACTCACTTTAATGTGTTTTTAATAATAATTATAATTGTGATATTAAATTAAAAAAGAGTCTAAAATCTCAACATCTGCATTAATGTCAAAGATTCTGTTGAGTTTCCATCAGAAATCTTACTTTTAATAAGTATAAGATATATAAGTGGCTTCCTGTCTGCCGTCTTTCCCACAGGGACGTGAACGCAGCATGAGAGGTGCTGATAATCCAGCAGGAGGAAGGGTGATAATCCCTCCTCTTCCCTCCCACTTCAGCCCACAGCATCACTCCAGCATCCACCTGCTTACCGCTCTCCTCGGAAACGCGTCTCCCTCCCGGCAGCGCGCTTCTCCTCTCACTTCTTCCCGTCTTCTTCTTTCTTTTACTCCCACCGGGTGGGCTCGAGGCGACCGGGGCGAGGAGTAAGGGTGAGATTAGTGGGAGAGGAGGGGGGGAGGGAGAGAGAGAGAGAGAGAGAGAGAGGGAGGGAGAGAGACAGAGAGAGAGAGAGAGAGA